CCCCGGCGATTAGCGCAGCTTGGACGTCACCGAACGCTGATCAACCCGCACCAGCGTCGCTGCACAGTCAATATCCTGATTCGTTAAGTCCTGTTGTGTCAACCGAGCCACCACCCGCGAGCTTTGACCCCAGCCTGGAGCCGCAGCCTATCGAGCTGCGGCCGCTCACGACTTTGTGCTGCGATGAGATTCCGTGATTCGTTACGTACGCGACGTGATTGCTGACGTTGTTGTCCGTCAGAAAGAGATTGCTGATCAAAGAAACCGCAAGAGTGTTGAGAAGTTCGTCAGGGGTGACCGTGCACTACTGTCTTCCGACGGCATCACACCTACTTCTGAAGTGAATTTGGGCGCCAACTTGTTGGTGCCAAGATTCATTGGTCCGTTCGATATTACAAGATATTAGACGATGCGTAAATGCTACAGTTTACGCCTCACCGTACCTTCTATGTCGGCCGACTTTGACGATACCATCTAGCGACTACCCCCGCAAACACGGGACACCGTCCCACGCTTCATCTTGTCGACGTCCGATATCACGCAAATCTTGGTTCTCCCGTTCCAGATACTCCAAGCGCCGAAGAAGCCGATCCGACGCTGCGCTATCGCAGCGTCCACCCAACGTCTGTGATTCTCCCATTCTGCCCAACGGTCCCGCGTCACTTGGGATATCGTGGGAAATTTTCGGCATGCCGCCGACCGGATCCTGAACCACGAGGATCCTGGCACGGAACCGACAGCCTCGCGTACAGGCTGCGGTGCTTCTCACCGCGACACTGCCATCGCTCCGCTGCGGCGTTTCCTGGTCCGTTGGCTAGACCCATGCCAGATAGTTCGGATCCTCGCGCCATCTTTCATTGCTGCCATGGTGCGGCCACCCTCCTTGCCAAGCTTCATCGAGAGCTTTTCGATAGTGCCCGGCCGCACCATCTCCGCTTCAGCTACCGGCCTCAACACCATGATGCGATGCCATTCACCGTCATCTGGTGGTGGGACGTCGTGCCTGCGACAGCGTAGGCATCTTTCTTCATGGTGAACAGGACAGCTTCTGTGACTTTGATCACGCGGCAACTGGCAGCCTTGAGCTGTGTGCGCACCGACGGACAGCAGAACGTGGGCAGCCTCACGATCCTGCAACATGCGCTCGCAGGCGTCTCGCCTTCCTTGTTCCACCGAAGTACGAACCCAGTCCACGCCTCGTCTAAGGACCGGAGGGTCACGGTTCTTGTCAATGCGGCAGACTTGCCCCGGGTCGCGCGGAACTGCTCGAAAGGCGCTTTATCTCGGAGTTGTCGCGAGCGTTCACGATGCCACAGCAGTCGCGCAGCGCCCACCTCTCTAGCGACTCCGCATACGTTATCGAGACCACACCGTTAACTTTCAATCTCAGAGTATTAGTTGTCTG